TTTGGTTCAGCAAAAATTAAGTTGCTACTGAAAAATTTTAATACAATATTAACTCTTAAAATTTCGAGTTATTCCAGTAGTATTATAAGCATTTGTATTTCTTACAGAGTTTTATGCATTTTTTTTTTCCCAATGGCAGATTGTTTACAGATTTAGTGTAACACAGTCCATTAATCTATACAAGACCAGAAGTGGCGGTCTCTTTATTATGGCGGCACCTAATAGGTGGGCCACCATCGCCTCCTATGAAGGGGCGGACAGTTACAACCATGCCTTCTCCGGGATTCGAACCCAGAACCTTCAGCAGTCAGGTTTTCCTAACCACTATACCGTTTGAACGGCGCAAACCTTTTTATTTCCTTTATATACTTCTTAGTTTCATAGAAACGCATAGAAGTATTTTCGCTCAAGAAACTTTTAGCTTTGATTATAAAATTTGTTTCTAGGAGTTCAAATGACAACTGCTAAATATTAGTTTTCCATTCAAAACAGAATGATTTCTAAAATGCTAAATTTGCAAAATTTCATAACTGTTAAATAATCATTTTCAACGAAATTCGTTCGTATTACATTTTGCAAAGATAATAGGATCTTCAAACTGCAATAAATACAGATACAGTAATAAAATATCAAAACTAAATTTGAGATAACTTTATGACACTAGACTATAAGGTATTTCTCCCATCTTCCTAGCGTGTCTTCGTCGTGTGGTGGTATGCATGCTGGACGCGCATATACCAGAGGTCCGTGGTTCGAGTCCCGGGGAAGGCATTGCTCATTTTTTGCCTCTCATGTTTTAGAAATACCTAGTGTCTCTACAGTGGCGCCCGAAATGAAAGGGTGTTGGATGATGATTCTTTTGGATTGGTGATTGGGTCTCCTAAAAAACCCAGTCGCCCTTTAAAAGGGGGTCAGTTTGAACACCTAGCAATCACCAAGAAGGGGGGAGTTCCACCTTCTTGGCGTGCCTTCGTGGTGTGGTAGTCTGCACGCAGGGCGCGTATTTCCAGAGGTCTGCGTTTCGATTCCTGGCGAAAGCGTTACTAATTTTTCATCTTGCCTGCTTCCAAAAATACCTAATGTCTCTACAAGACGTTAGAAATATTATTATCAGAACATTAGGAGTGTCCCAATGAATTTAAAATTTTATTGTAATGTTATGTTATCGTAACTTTAGAAATAAACTGTCCCGATACTTGCACGTTATTTTGTAACTTTAAAAAAAAAAGCAAATTATAAGCATCCTTCAGCGTGAAGCGTCGGCATAAATATTTCCTTATCAAATCCATTCACCTGAAATGTAGAGTTTAAAATTAGCATCTAAAACAAGAAGTGACTCTGCAAAATAAAAGTTTAAGTTTTGCAGAGATTATAGCCTAAAACATGCAAAGTAAATATTCCGTTAACCTGAAATGAAATATATTACTGCCATGTACGTCTTCGTAATAGATTTAGTGCACGCAAAAGCAATGATATATTGAAAAAAAAAGATTTTTTTTTTTTGACAAAAGAAACATTTTACCGTTTCAGAGATTTCAACGAGCACAAATACAAACACACACACACACCAAATATATTACTGTTTTAATCCGCAGAGTGCTGCCATTTCTCACTTTCAAAACGTTGAGTTTGTTATTCAATTAAAGATTAACAATATATGAAACGTAAAATTCGAAATGCAAAATTCGAGTTTCCAGGTGCACACATTCGGGTGCACTACTTCGTTATACAAAATTTGATAGTCCTGTCTACTCTCATGTTACAGTACCAGGATCATGCATACATACATGCAGATTCTTCATTACCTACTTTCTTTAAAAAGTAAAACAGGACGATAATATTTGGTGGCAACAATTTAAAATGTATTCGCCGCTTATAGTGGATGATGCAAAATCCCATTTGCACACAAATAGCCCGGTTGGGCTAACACCTCTGGGCTAAAAATATAAAAGCAACATATATTTAGAATTCCAACAGACAGTCTCGCACGGTGGAGATAAAAATAAAAAATTCACACAGTTTGTTGCTACTGCTCGCTTTGTTGCTACTGCTCAAGTATTCGTTAAAGTTTAAAAATATTATATCGATGTTAAGGTGAAACACCGAAATCTGGAGAATGTCGACTTTCACCGGTGAATGTCAACATTCACATAGTCGCTTGGTGTATGCCCGAAATATTTTCCAAATAATCTTACTTCTGACTTACGCAAGTCAATGTCGACATTCACCATGTACTAATGGTGAATGTTGAACATATAAGAATATTATATTTTCTTCTCCGAAACTCGGTCGTGAGAAAACGCACTTGAGACTTAAAATAAGAGGTTAAGAATATAAGAACTTAAAACACACAGTACATTCAAAATGAGAAAGGAAAATAATGGAAGTTAAAAACTTACTAAATTATGTGATTCAAATCTTATTTATTGCATTAAGTTAAAGTATTATGAAACTTTGAATTGCACAAGAGGCCCTTGCTTTTACAACTGCATTTATTTGTGGAACACTTACTTTTGCAATGTCAGCGTGTACATATACTCCTCTCTTTTCGACCTATACCAGAGCATATCTGTGATTGTCGACATGCACCGGTGAGTGCCCGAATGTACAAGAATGTAACGTAATATTTAGTGAATGTTCTCCGGTGAAAGTCAACATTCTCTAATTTCGGTCTTTCAGGGTAACATAGATAATAAAACAAAATCGAAATTCAAGAGTAGAGTTATTGTTGCGTGTGTACGTTTTAGTTGCGCTTGTACAGAGATGCACAACTCCCATAATAGGTTAATAAAAATTTATTTTTATCAAAAGAAATATTTCAGGACCCTGGAATTTTCCACAGAAATATTCGTACAAGTGTTCATAATAGTATAATCAGTACTTACACTGCAAACTACATAGAGACATTAGGATTTTTTTGGAAGCATGAGAAGTAATAAATGAGCAACGCCTTTGGGAATCGAACCGGGGACCTCTGGAATATGCGCTCAGCGTGCAGACCACCACACTACGAAGGCACGCAAAGAAAGCGGGAAAAATACCTTATATACTTATCTTATTTGCGATGTTACTTAATAATACTAGATAATAGGAAAAACATGAGGACGAAGCTTGATAAATATGTGTCAGTGATGGACAGTTGAATGCTTCGTTATTCCTGACAAAATATTTTCTAGAAACGTTACAGGATTCAATTGGCCTAAAACGCTCTGTCTTTCATCGTTTTAATGGTTTTCTCACCATTATAATATTATGTTTAAAGTAGGAAAGAGAAGCGACGGGCTATCAATTAGCAGGACAGGGAAGCATATCAATTTGCGCATATTGCAATATGGGTATTAGAGAAGTTATAGTCTTGCTTTATTCTGTTCCTTAATTAAATTGTTCGCTTAAAAATATACCATTATTTTTAGCTAAAGGACCATTGCGTACCTCAGTGTTATATAAAATCATTTGGCAGGAAATAATTCATAAATGAAACATTCAGAAAGATTTATTTTACGCAAGTTTATGCTTTAAAAACAGAAAAGGGGAATAAAAAGGTTAAGCGAGAATTTATAAGCTATTAAAAATTAAATTGGAGTTTTATCTTGCAATATCTTTACCTTATATATATTTCACATATACTCACCAATTAACACTCGTTGAAGCAGTTGATAGTGCATAATAGATTTTGGTTTTGCTACATTCTTTATATATTTTCATTTATTTCATTCATATACCTATATGTATAAAAATCATGTTTATCTTCATATATGCATATAAATTTGTGCATACATTAAGTATAGGTTTCCATTTTTCAGCTACAATTAGAAATTTATTTGAATTTTGAAGGTGTACGTAACTTGCACATATACTTTTAGGAAGAACCTGAGGCATACAATGTTGAATGGTTACAGCCGAAAACATCGCGGCAAAAACATCGCGGACGAAAACGTCGCGGAGAAAACAACGCAAGGCGAAAACGTCGTGCTACAAAACATCGTGCTACAAAACATCGTGGAAGAAAACATCGCAAAGAGAAAACATCGCAGTCCTAAAACATCGTGGTACAAAACATCGTCGTCGAAAATAAAGCGGTTCAAAAACTTCGCAATTTAAAAACATCGTCGTCGAAAATATCGTGGTAAAAAATAAAGTATCTACAAATCATCGCATGACGATAACATCGCAGACATGCTTTTTATACATGCTTTAATAACTGTAAATGAATATTCCCATAAAGATTTGTGAGCGCAAAATGGAAAGAAGGATAATTTTTACTTTCACATTTTTTTATTAACTAATAAATTTTTTCTGAAAAAGTAAGAAGGAAACTTAAGCATAGCAAATTAATGCAACTTATAGCACTCAACAGAATTTTAAACCGACATAGTTAACTAACAAAGGCCATTAATAAATCATTTTTTATAAAGTTTTTACTGGATAATTTTTCATGAAAAGTATAATCTATAAGTTGCATTTAATTTTCTATGCTTAAGTTTTCCTTCTTACTTTTTCAGAAAAAAATTTATTAGTTAATAAAAAATGTGAAAGTAAAAATTATCCTTCTTTACATTTTGCGCTCACAAATCTTATGGGAATATTCATTTACAGTTATTAAAGCATGTATGGAAAAAGCCATGTCTGCGATGTTATCGTCATGCGATGATTTGTAGATACTTTATTTTTTACCACGATATTTTCGACGACGATGTTTTTAAACTGCGAAGTTTTTGAACCGCTTTATTTTCGACGACGATGTTTTGTACCACGATGTTTTAGGACTGCGATGTTTTCTCCCACGATGTTTTGTAGCACGACGTTTTTGCCTTGCGTTGTTTTCTCCATGACGTTTTCGTCCGCGATGTTATCGGCGGACACCATTTTGAATAGCCTCGAGGCAAGCCGTCTTGCAGAACACTTCCAATCTGGAGTTATTTTTTTTTTCACTATAAAACTTGTAAGTGTTGTTAATAATGCATTATAAAGTTAATAACTGATTTTGTATTTTCGCATAGAATGCGAGTGCATTAACGGGAAATGTGTTTTGAATGAAAACGGGAGAAAAGTCTGTCAGTGTCCACCAGAATACGGACTCTCTACACCAACAATGTGCGAAAGTACGTGACTTGATTTTACTTTTCTTTGAAGTAATAATTCTTTAATATAAATATCTCTTATCCACAATTCTTATGTTGCTTCATTGTTACAAAGATGTATCTAACGTTTAACAAATGACTATGTGTCTTCGCAGTGGTATACGGATGGATAACTTAATAGAAGAAATACTGCTGCATATATGCCATGAAATAGAATCAGTGTTTTCCTCTTATACTGCTTGTTAGTTCGATATGTAACCAATAACGCAGTTAACGGACTTCCAAAGCTGTGCTTATGTACTGTAACAAGAGCTATAGTCTTCGGTTAATTAGCTATCATATAATGAGTAGCAACGATATTATCGGAACAATACACCTTAAATGAACTGAGGAATAAAAGAATATCTCTCAAATTTCTTAAGGAGTTTCAATAGATAATACATATGCATTGCATAATTTTCTAAATAATACAGATGAATCTGTTGAAAGGGAAAAATATAACTGCTCAAAATGTTTGTTATCTTTTTTGCTTCTTTGCACGAAGTAAAAAGGAAGTATTGCAATCACGAAAAGTTTCAGGCAGCATATTTCAACGAAAATATCCATTTTGACCGCTTTCGAATGCAATTTAACGATGGTATGTGTACGTAAGGATAGAATAAAAGACTCTTTTCCTCCAAAATAATTATAAAACTGCTTTAAAATGAATTCTGAAGAGAATTTTTCGTGGCGTCTGTACGAATGTATGTACGTACGTACGTATCTCGCATAACTCAGAAACGAGTAGATTTTAAAGTTGTTTAAGTGCCGCTAAGCCTAATCATTTTTTTTATGGCTGCCATTGCTTGTTTACATTTGAAACATCAGAGTAATGGATTTGTTGCCAATCTAGAGAAACGTAGCTTATTATAACAACAAAGATAACACCTTCACTTATTATTGCGAATTAAATCATGCTTAATCCTTTCCGGAATTTTTTCAAGGAAATAAGTGTTTAAGATTTACTTCGTAATTTTTAATACAGATATTTTGAGTTTTTATGTATTTTTGCCTTGTCGCGAAGTAAGAACTGAATTAATTGAATGAGAAATACTGAATCGTCTGTGAAAAACTGCTTCTTTTTTGTTTTGTTTGCTAAATTTCTTTTATACATCGTTCTAGCTTTATTATAGTATTTGAATAGAACATGTGGCAGCGATTAGATAATTCTTTAAATTATATAAATTTTGTGCATTCTGAGTTATAATATGAACGAAGTATAATACTGTTAAATGAATCTAGCGCCAGTATGTCGCTATGGTAAACAAAGAGTGAATTTTAAAGAATGCATTTATTCTATTGTGGTTTATGTGCTGTCGGTGAAGTAGATTTAATTCAATCCAATAAGTTTAAAGGAAATGCAAGAAAAAATGCGTATAATTTAATATTCCGTACAAAGAAGTCATGTGGTGTACACATCAGATTTTTTTTCTTAAATTACGAAGTAAATTTCCAAAATTTACAGATCAGGTTCCGGGTTATTTTTATGCTTAAATAAAAATATAGAAAACTCATGCATCTCAAAACAGACATTTAATCCTTCCTCTCGATGTTTCGCCCTACTCAAAAATTATTCAGATTAATCATGAGAAAACACTGCAAATATTAAATACGGTAATCTGACATAGAATCAGTCGACACAATTAACTCCCATACATTTGGAACTAGATAGTATTATACTTATAATGAGTAGCAATGATATTATCGGAGCAATAAATCTAAAATGAACTGAGGAATAAAAGAATATCTCTTAAAATTCTTAAGGCGTTTCAATATATTAATGCATATGCATTGCATAATTTCCTAAATACTACAGCCGAATCTGTTGAAAGGGAAAAATACGGTTCAAAATGGTTGTTATCTTTTTTTCTTAAATTACTAAGTAAATTTCCAAAATTTACAGATCACATTCCTGTTGATTGAAACATTTTTATACTTAAAATACATAAAAATATAGAAAACTCATGCATCTCGAAACAGTCATTTAATACTTCCTCTCGATTTTTCGCCCTACACAAAAATGATTCAGATTAATCATGAGCAAACACTGCAATTATTTAACACGGTACCTGACATAGAATCAGTCGACACAATTAACTCCCATACAATTTGAACTAGATAGTATAATACTTAGTTGAGTGAATATAATGGTTACATACACAAGCGACATTCAATGCTAACGACGAAAAGTGAAACCTTCGGGTTAACATTTTTAGGAAAATGTAGGTTCTCTCTTTCTGACACTCTTGTTTCATCCAGATTTGGACTTCTGCGATGATCAGTTGAATAACAGTTGTGTTCTCGAACCCCTAGAAAGAGAACGTTTCTCTCTCCGTTGGAAAATCGCTGGTGTACACCATGAACGGTGAAAACGATGAAAACAACCACGCAGCCAGCCCCGCTCGCGAGGATTCGGATCCCGACCGAATTACCAGCTTCCGGCACCGCTCGGATATTGGTGGGATCAATAAACTATTGTTTTTATAGAAATGCACTATTGTTTTTATAGAAACAGTTTTAAAAAATTAAATTTAATGTTGACTGTTCTTCTTCAACATAAATACATGCGTAATGTAAGTAAACTTGAACTTAGAGAGTCAAAGAGATACTAAAATGTAAATAAATTCAACACTGTTCTCTTAATTCAACAAAGGTCATATCTGATCCCCAAAATGAATGTTTAGGCTATACGTTACTGATAGCACAATAGTTGTTTTAAAAAGCCAACATTTATTTAAGTTCTATTTCATCAAATTTGTCGAAAGGTACTTTTTTGGAGAGTTATTAGCAATAGATTCAAAATCTATTAAAGTTTTCTTATTCAAAACAGAATATCATTGATTATTAAAAAATTGAAATAAGTAGATATCGATACTTTGGAATTAAATCACGATTTCAAACATTGTGAAAAATTGAAGGCAGACGTTGTACGCGTATTGCGTAAAATTTAAAATATGATAATTTTAGTAACAGGATTTCGTTACGTTACAGAATAAGAAGCAAATGGATATAGCAAAAGTAAAAATTGAAACATAGTGATACCCTAATTAAATAACAATTCAAGATAGTTAACAAGAAACCTTGAGTAAAGTTTAATTCTGAACATTTGGACGAAGCCATGATAATCACTACAGAAATTCAGCAAAATAAGCATTATCGTTTTTTAGATAGTTGCATGAATGTAGCATTTCTATAAAAACAATAGTTGCGTCTTTCATATAATCAGCAGCTGTTGTTTAGTTTCTATTAATTTACAAGAGATAAGATAAGGGCTACCTAGCTAAGAAAATGGATGACTTCAAGCAGAACTGTAAAAGAAACTCATTTTTATGCTACTACTCATAAGGAAAGCTGCGAAGACACCTATGCAACCTATCGTTTGCTGAAATGTGGTCAGCGAACTTACCTAATCGTCTGCTGTTAGACCACATTTCTCAATAAAGGATAAGCTATGTTTTTATTATGATTCATTTTATAGTTTTGAAAGAATTGTTCTTGAATAATTTTTCTTTTTTCTTTTTCATGTTATTTATTCATAAGTATTAAATGGATGATACCAAGTTTTATAGAGATAGCTTCAGAAATGGAAACTTATTGAAGCAAATAATCGAAAACCATCAAGATATGACGTACCATTGTTTATTGTACAAATAATAGATATAAAATATGTAAGGGACCTAACGGAGACTAGATTTTCATAGCACTTAATATAAATAGTAAAGCAGAAATTTGAAGATATGCATCTACGGCTCCTCTTTATTTTTTTCTTGCAGAATGTAATTGCGGGAAAGAAGCCAGTTGCACCTTTGATAAGGATAAGGGTAAAACATGCATTTGCAAAGAAGGTTACAGGCTAGTGCCTTTAGGTTTCTGTACAGGTAAGCTTCGCTTTCTGCTGTTCATTAAACTTCCTAATTAAATATAAGCTTTAAGGCCACAGCAATTATCCGAGACTAAAGCATTATCGCTGTGTGAAAATGGGTAAAACGAATGATTAAATGTAATTTTAAAAAACGTCATAGTTGGCTCAAGGAAACTTCAAATCACAAACGGCTTAAAATTGTCCCTTGTAATAAAATCTTGGATGTGTACAGACAGGCTGCTGAACAAAACAATTCGCACGATAAAAAAACAATAGTGAATGAGATATCTAAAAACGGTTGACACAAGGCGGCAATGATAACAGATGAACAACAAATTACGGCTATGAACGATTCAGGCTTAGCACAAAGCACAATATAATGCCTTTCTATGCTAAGGTGTTTTAACAGATTTAAATTGTCACGTTTTCCTGCACTATGATTAAAAACAGGAAGTAACAGGTACAGCGTGCTCCAGAGCAGCAAACATTACACCTCTGACGACCAAAACACATTATTTTTGAACAACTGCGTCATTTCTTCTATAACATGCTGGTAACACTGTAAGGATCTTAAGTTTTACTAACATTTATTTTATTTTAAATCTCTACTATCACTTCTTATTTTCTACTTCCGGCCAGAATTAAAAGCTTTAACTTATTTATGCAAATTTGTCTGGCGAACGCCAAGTACTTAAGTTGTGGCTTTTTGCCAAGCGAGAGAGAGGAAGGAGTTAGTCGAAGCAGGCCGCTTACAAAAGCAGTTTTACTCGGTTGCTGGTTGCCTTCCAGGCCAGAGGTTTAATCCTCGTGATAATTTTAAAAGTATTGTAGTGTTAACAGTTCTCTGTACTACATACGGCTTCCTGTTAAATAACGGCCAATCTTCCACGTAGGCCCTTGTTTATTATTCCAAAGTTAAGTTAGAGTTTAGTTAAATATTTTTATAATCTTACGTTCAGACCACAAGTGGTTGGTCTCTGTATTCCGAAGTACGGAAATTATTGTAAAGAGTGAAAAATAAAGGGTTTGGTATACCCTTCCTGTGTATCTTGTCTACTTCCCACATTGATTGAACATAGCTTTAGTAAGCTCCCTGTTCCGAGTCAGGTTCTTCAATGTTCCCCAAGCAAGTAAGGAGAAACACAGAACCTGATAACACGATCGGAATATGGCTAAAAAAAACCAAATTCATGGACCGCTATAAATCTTCACGCTGATTGCACTAGAATAATCACATCGAAATAATTTTCTGTAACGCAAAGGATTCCTTGATATCTCTGGAAATAACTACTAACCCCATAATTTAATTCAAATTTGGGGAGTATCACATACACTCATTAATCGCTGCGATGTTCCTTGATGGAGATTGTCATTCTCAGAAGAAAAACTGTCTGATCTTAAGTGCTCTCTAAATCGTTTAAAGAGAATTTACGAAGACTCTTTGAAAATTTAATATAAATCATTGAAAACATATAAAATATCACCAAATTAGAGAGGAAGGAAGTCTTTTGTGAAATCTTAAGATAATTCGAAATTTTCACACTACAAAGAAAAGCTATGAGGATTCGGGTGAAGCAAAATAAAATTTCAGTATGAAAAGCCAGATAAATCAGTTTCCATCTGTGATTTTTTAACCCATTTTATCCCACTGTCCTATTTAACAGGACAGCTGAAAAATAGCATGTACAAATCAGTATTTGCTTGAAGCGAATATTTTGCCAGCTGGAATATGTAGGGATATGTATTAGCATCTGCTATCGTGAGTTATGTGTCTCGTCCCCTCCTCCTTCCTCTGGACATTTTGATTATTCATCGCATTAGTGGGCGTGGTTTGTATCATCTCTTTGTGGTTGCAGAATTCGTTTTCAGTTTACTTTGGGCACTCGGCTGGGCATTTTGTATGTGAAAGTACTCTTTCCTTATCATCCTGGTGGTTAATGAAAGCTTTATTGTTATTAAGTGAGTTTTAAAGCATTGTTTTTTAGCTGTCCTCTAAATAGGACAATGGGACGATAAGTATGCAATTGACGCGTTCTTTCCCTCTTTATAAATAAGAGTAAAAACAAATTTTTAGTGCTTATGTCAGTGCAAAGGTTTTTGAAGTTAGAGGAAGCATTAGAACTATTCAATAGTTTAGATTCAGATGAGAGTGAAGTTGAAATTGCTGTGTTACCACCACATGCCAGTGAACTAACTGACGAAGATGAAGGGTATAAGAATGAAGTAAATACTCGTGAGATTACTGTAACCGATGTTCCTGGGTCTCTGGAGGTTATAACTGGAGATAGTTTCCAGCCTGAAAGATAGTGTTTCCACAGCAAAGAGTAGAAGAAAAGCTAAAAGACACCAGTCATCTTGGATAAAGAATAATATGTTGTATAGTCAATAATGCAAAAAGTGCACAATGAAAAAAGGCATGCACTTAGTTTGTTAAGTAATGCTCCTTTCGAACTGCTGCAAACTAAGTTTGATAGATTACGTGCAAGTTCATAAATGTGTATTTTAACAGCCGCATTTTCGAAATTACTCGTACTTCTTTAAGGGGGCTCTTACACCTTAAACTCCTTATGATCTTCGAATTATGTGACTGTTGCAAGAATTGAGATATTTTATTTATTTTAAAAGTAATGACCTCCAGCCTTTACAGGACTACATTATAGCTGTTTGGAAACTAGTAACAAAGTTTGTGTCCACAAATATTTTTGTATTTTATTGCTCTGTATTTTTCTTCATTTTTACCTGCACGCTTGATATTAAAAATGACTAATGGTATATCTTGAAATGGATGTAATTCTTTTATGGGCATATTTTCTAACTGACCAAAAATATGATGAATATTTTAATATTAAAATTTTATGCACGAAAATATTACAGATATTTTTAAGAAAATACATTTTATAACTCAACTCCTAAATAAAATAAAAATTTAACATGAAATTCTCAGTTTTTTTGGTTACAGTAGTTTACAAATGTATAAAGCTATATATAAACTATGGAATTAAATAATGCAACAGATAATTTTAAACTGTGCGCGCAACCTGGAAACATGAAGAAAATTTTTGTCACAAAGCGAATTAAATTATAACAATTTTTGTGGGAACACAAACTTTCTGATTAGGATTTCAGAGAGCAGCTATATTATGTAGTGAGCCATAAAAAGTTGGAAGTAATTGCTTTTAAAATAAATAAGTTATCTCAATTCTTGCAACAGTCACATATTCAAAGATCATAAGGGGCTTAAGGTGTATGAGTCCCCTTAATGTATAATAAGGGGAAAATAGCTGACTTAGCAATGATACACATATATTTAAAATTGATTTTGTTATGCAGATTATAATTTAAATTTCACTCAAAGATTAGATGGCCAATGGAATCAGTAGTGGATTAATGCGTTACCGCTAATAATCGCACCAGTTTAATTCATTTTCTTTATTTCACGTTCTTTTCACCATGAAACGAAGATAAAGCAAACTTAAGCTGATGAAAAATGTTTCTTATTCCCGTGAATAGAAAACCAATATATTTACATACGATAGGAGGAAATTTATATGAGAATTTGCAGCCGAGCTTTGATAGCACTCAAGAAAACGTACATTTCAAAACTTCAAGGCTTCTTTTGTTTAAAATCTTGATCGAAACATAGAACGTACGTAAAATACACGACGTTCAAATTACACTAAATAGCTTCCAGTTCAACAAACAAAGTGACGTCGTAATTCAGAGTTTACATACGCCGTCTTTCGTTTCTCTATATCAACTGTAAAATATAGATTCTAAGCAGATAATTAATTGTAATATAAAAAACTTTAAAATGTTATATATACGGGAATGTTCTGAAATCTGGATTGCGGGTGAAATGGACAGAGAGTCTTGTCACAGTTTTATATTGTTAAACGCTATAATGTATTGGAGACAAAGAAGATTTTTGTAATTTTGCTGAAAAACGATGATTTTTAGGTTCTGACTTGTCTGATGTGCTCCTTCTTTATGGATCTGGTTAACATAACATTATTTCATAACATAAACATTATATTTATACATTCACATGAGAGAAACTTGTTTCCTTCTATGATGGTTTATATGTAATGGCATCGTCTTTAAAATTTTCGTCAAAATCAAAACAATGGGGAAAACTATAAAAAATCTGGAAGCTTTCAAATTTTATATTACGTTAAAACGACGTCTTATTATTATTACATACACGTTTTGAGAGCATTTGTGCTATTTTGAATTCTCGATAGAAAATCTCACACGCTGGAGGTAAAATGTACAGTGTGTTGCCACTTTTCGCTTTGCAATCGTTGTGTTTCTTGATCAAGAATTCGTTAAAAAATGTTTAAAAAATGTCAAATACATAATAAAAAAATTCGAAAGTCAAGATTCGGACTTTCACTGCCCATATTCAGTGGAGGACTAATTTATCAAAAATTTGATGGCTCTAAATATAGTTGTTTTTTCACAGTTCGAGAAACATATCATTCATGCTGATTCTTCATTATTTAATTTCTTTAAGTATAATACAGGGCAATATTATTTGGTAGCAAAGCGATAGAGCGATTTATAGTGATTCGAAAAGTGATAGAGCGATTTATAGTGATTCGACCCAAAATGCCGCTTCGATGCCAAATGATTACCTAACAAAAATGTTCTTACAGTAAATTTATAGCAGAAGACATAATACCTTATTGAATGTATTTAACAACTCCCAGAATGAAATTATGCCTTGAATCTTGATTAAACATTTAAGTTATGATATATTATATGCATTAACTCATTAACTGCCATATTTTTTAAACTTTTACTTTTCAAATATAATTTGTCCTTTGCATGTAAACAAACAGAGTGTAAACAAGGCCCTTCTCGGCCAACGTCCCTTTGGGTTAAGAAACAAACATTAGATTTTCCAAACATCTGGAGTCCTTTATTTTGCACATTAGCCGATAACAAATCTAAAAGTGAAGTGTAAGAATAAAGAAATGCTACTTTGATACTTTGTTGGTTATTCTGGCATGCAGCTGGAGACGCACTACTCCTGCTCTTTCCAGATTCCTAAATGAGTCCCCTTAGGGTCCTGGCGTATATGACCTTAAGATGAAGCTTCTCCAGTTTAAAAAAAAGAGTAATAGTAATAATAATATTTATTACCATAGTTATGTAATGCTTTATATATGTATATTTCTCTTTCCACTCAAGATTCGAAAGTACTTATGTTCTACAGAGGGGTAGGGTCATTGAACCCCGGTACTCCAGTGTGAGGACACCATTCCACTGGATCGCTTTTCCAGTTCAGATAGACTTGTAAAAAAATAGAAGTGAAGTGCTGAGCTTCGATGAATAAGGAAATAAAAAACATCAATTCGCTTTCTGCCTCACCTTGCATCGGCTCACCGGTGGGCGAATATTTAGGATCGCTGAACACCGGGTTAATGTTCTACCCGGCTTCGATAAAAGCAAATGGACTGGCTGCATGGTGTCCCCTATGTATCGTAATAATCTCCTCTATGTGTAAAATAAAATGAGTTTGAGTCCTCCAAAGGCATTTAAACACTTAGGCAGATAGCCTTTGAGTTGTTATGATTATTGGAATTATGGGTTATGATTATTAGAAAATCAATTTCCAGTGATCATAATCATAATGCATAATATTGACTTCACAGTATCTATGAAGAAGAAATAAAATTGATGCAATTATATAGTATAATTTAGCCTCATAATTATATTGACTTTCATATTAATTTTGTCAAAAAAATATTGCTTCAAAGACAATTACACCAAATAGAAACCTCAGGTTTAAAATTCAATGGATAAATACAGGACATACTATTTTTAATGTTTGAATATAATGAACATAAAATTTCACACTAAAACATAATTTTCTCTTTAAGTTTGGATGTTACGGACATTGGTTTTTAAATAAACTCTGTTGCATAATATAAAAGAATTTTTCATTCAATATTGTTAAAATTTTCAGTTTGTTATATTCTTAAAAGAACATTAACTATATTAAAAGTCAATTAAAGTGTCCTATTGCTTGAAGCTGAACAAAACAAAATTATCTCAATGTTGTATCTGTTCTAAAATAATCAGAAGAACAACCATAAATATATTAAGTATGCTAATTATTTTATACTATAAAATAGTGCAATAATTTTCCGACTTGTTGTTTCAGGTCCTTGTGCGCCGAATCCATGCGAAAACGGAGGAACCTGCATTGATATTCCCGATTCTTATAAATGTGTGTGTCCTAATAGATTACACTGGTCTGAAATGTGAAATGAAAGAGAAAAAATTTGATGTGTACACCACATGACTTCCTTGTACGGAATATTAAATTATACGCATTTTTTCTTGCATTTCATTTAAACTTATTAGACTGAATTAAACCTACTTCGCCGACACCGCATAAACCACAATAGAATAAATGTATTCCTTAAAATTCACTTTGTTTACCATAGCGACACTCTGGCGCTATGTTCACTTAACAGTATTATATTTCGTTCATATTATAACTCAGAATGCACAAAAATTTATATCATTTAAAGAATTATCTAATCGTTGCTAAATGTTCTATTCAAATACTATAATGAAGCTAGAACGATATATAAAAGAAATTAAGCAAACAAAACAAAAAAGAAACAGTTTTTCAAAGACGATTCAGTATTTCTCATTCAATTAATTCAGTTTTCACTTCGCGACAAGGCAAAAATACATAAAAACTCAAAATATCTGTATTAAAAATTAAGAAGTAAATCTTAAACGCTTATTTCCTCGAAAAATTCCAGAAGGATTAAGCATGATTTAAATAATAAATGAAGGCGTTATCTTTGTTGTTGGGAAGCTAAGTTTCTCTAGATTGGCAACAAATCCGCTATCCTGCTGTTTCAAATGTAAACAAGAGCAAAGGCCGCCATCAAAAACATTAATAGGCTTAGCGGCACTTAAACAATTTTAAAATTGTTGATAATTCTAAAAATATTGCATACAGATTTAATGAAGGCATAAAAACCTTAACCGGAAGATAAGAACAACATAATTCAATCATTTTTAAAGCAAAAAATGTACAATTTACAAACATATAAGAGTAAAGAAACTCAGATTACTGAGCCGGGTAACAGAGTAAATACATATATGAATATATTTATATAGGTTTGGTGCGGCCGATTGCAACCAAAATACGAGGTGCACATCTACATGTTATAACAGTCCTATATGCAAAATTTCAACTGTCTGAGGCTATTCGTTTTTGAGTTATGTGAGATACGTACGTACGTACACACGTTCGTACAGACGCCACGAAAAATTCTCTTCAGAATTCATTTTAAAGCAGTTTTATAATTTTTTTGGAGGAAAAGAGTATTTTATTCTGTCCTTACGTACATATATCACGGAAATACATCGTTAAATTGCATTTGAAAGAGGTCAAAATGGGATATTTTCGTTGAAATATGCTGCCTGAAACTTTTCGCTATTACAATACTTCCTTTTTACTTCGTACAAGGAAGTAAAAATGTATCATTAAAAAGAAATGCTACTTTAAATTATTATTATCATTTTGAAAAATTCTTATTTTTCAGCAACTCTATCTATTTAACAGTGAAAAGTGTATCCTTTTTTTTCAGTAAGATATTCACCTCCCAAACAGATACACTGTAGCTGCAAATAAAGTAACAACGAGCTAATATAATGATTTGAAGCAGAGCTGAACTAAAATTTAATACGTATAAAGTACGGCTGTTCATTAATATTCCTCAAATGCCGCTGTGTGTTGTCCGTTTTGGCGGCAATTCCAAGCTGAGTATTTGAACTTATAAAGTAGAAGAAACAAATAATTACATTGTTTTATGCATACAGATTCGCAATGGCGTAAATGCACACATGAAATTAATGGAACGTATTTCCTTAAAAGAAACATTGTACATTTATGGAACTTTTCACAAAAATACTTTTGCAGCTCATTTAGTATGACAGAACATGAATCAGTAGTTACAACTTCGCACTATTTAGAAGGTTTTCAAAAGGCAATAGAAAAGCCTCAGATGCGTAAGCTCACACAGCGATCTCCCAACAACAATCTGAGCTCAATCTGAATTAAAGTAACCTGATGGTCTTCTCTGATCATAGTATATACTTTTCACTAGGCCGTCAAGAAATATCCAGTAACTTCGATTTCACGAAATTGGTGAAAGGCACACACAGTTGCATTTACATAAGGCTGGATACAACTACAATTAAAGTCAATTCAACTACAATACTTCTACAATTCGGGTTAAGTTTGCCAAGTTTTGAAATGTTTGACGATTTCTCTCTAAATTTCCCGCTTTTGGTGATTTCTTTGCCAAACCATCACCATCTTGGCGTTATATCGCCAATTTGGCAAAATGCCTTTAATGTATGGTCTTGGCCATGAAACTTTATTTTTCCAACGAAGCTCCATTCTTCGAGGCCTTTTATCTTACATTACACAAGACATGTGAGAAATTTACAAATAATTTCAGTAAAATTACATATTTCATAATATTGCCCTGTTAAATCCAGAACAGGAAACAGCATTTACAACTGAGGAAAATCAATAAACGCAATACTAAATGCAATACAAAAGTAATAATTTCAATAAATAACGCATACAAAATAAAATACTAAATAAATAAATTATGCATTTACAAATTAATGCATTCATAGGATCATGGTCTTATTATATAAACTATTGGGCTTGTGTCCTAATGGGCCATTGTGAAAGGTTAGAGTGTGGTAATTAACGCGTTTAGGCTTAGAATTTAAATACTACGGATTCGAACAACGTTCAGTCTGTGCATGTCTATAATGACCGTCCCAAGATGACTATAGCTTAGGAGAAAGTCCTCTTGGTTAAATTGGATTCCACAACCATCCCTTGTCAACTTCGTTTAATCCATGTCTTGTAACTCTCAAATCTTATCGCGTCTTCATCTTACCCATCGCCAAGTTGTCTCGCTTTCGGGCAAAACTGTGCGTCACTTCGTACATGGATTTTATGAATGCCTTTCTCTATCAATAAAGTCACATCCGGAAGACAACCAGACAACAGATCAAAAAGTTACGACGGAAGAACTTCTGTGATGGGAATAACCCGTAGTCAGACGGACAATATTTCGACAGGTTAGAAAGAGCCGAGGCAACTTTTGTTCTCAGTTACGTTGATTTCTGGACAAAATTAGAAGGAGTTTATTAACGTTTCGATAAACCTTCTCTACACTGCCATCTGAATACTGATGTGGAGTTATCGTTTGTATGCCGATCAATTTACGTATTTATTTAATTACAGCAGAGATAAAATAATCTTCCCTAAATGGAAGTTAACTCGAGAGATTCTACAAGCTTGAAAATAGAATGCCATGTCAGTGCCTCTGGTACCGTGCTAGCTTCTTGATCAGGAATAGTATAGGCTTTAGGCTACTTGGTGAAGTAATCAATGACAACAAGGATGTATTTTTTAAATTGGTAATTTGTGGCAAAGATCCCATGATGTCAAAGGCGATGCATTCAAATGGCCTTCTGTTTTATAAATGTTGTAGTTTCCTTCGGATGCGTTTCTTCAGTTCTTTTCCTCCCGCACAGCAAGCTCAAGATTGTAACATTTTTGCATGTCAGCCCTTCCTTTAATCTACTAGAAGCTTTTTCTAATTTTATGCAAAGTCTTCATTATTCTGAGATGACCTCCTGATGGACTGATATGCAGTTCCTTAAGTAACGTCGGGGATCCGGAATAATACAAGTATCTACTGACACTGGAATTATTACTTTCCATTATCTGTTTCAATCTTTTAGTACAAGATTTCGTTGGAAATATTGTATCAGGCTTACAGACCCGAATATTGTTCTGTCGTAGAAATATGTCGTTGTTCGTCGTTACATATCGAAATGTCCTGCCAGGTAGGTTTTTTATTGTAAGACTCCATTAGATTAACTATGAGTTTCATATCACCATCTTCCAACTGGCTTTATCTGACTTTTATTTCGCTACAGACAGTGAATGTATAACTCGATGTGCGACCAACCGCCAGATCGTATTTCATTGCGACCCTGAGAGAATATTTGCACCTATCTGGGCGTGGCTTGCTAGACTGGAGTCGGCGTTTCATTGTAAGTATCCTTTCGGATACTCAAAATTTACTGTAATTTCTCCTTTCGCTTTCCTTACCAGAATGGAAATTAAATAGCATTTAAACTTAAGTTTCAGGATTGTATTCAGGAGGACAGATCGTACATGTGGATTTTGTGGCTACATCCCGTTACTTCCTGGCAACTGTATAATTTTTGTAATTATTTGGCTATGCGATATTCCCGCCGACATTTTAATTTGTTACGCCAGTAGAATTATTGAGTCAGCTTAGAATGAAATTGAATTGTGCAGTCTTAGACAACTAAATTTTATATTGAAATTTATTGCTCCTTTAGTTGCATCACTACGAGTTTTGGTTGATATTTTTATCTTACGAACGTGCATTCTTGTTACAATTTCTGTTTAATAAAAAACGTTATTAAAACCTTTCCATGGCTTGAAGTTACTTAGACAGATAACTCGCTTCATCTCTGATGGGTTAGTAATTCCGTATCAACTAAACTCCTATAGCTTTGTTGCGGCAGATGTGGTTTCGGTTCTTCAGGTTGCCACAAGGACTCAAAACCGCCGTTATATTGCTCTATGAAGGCCTTCCAGTTTTGAGCTTTATCGATAGTTTGGATCGTACAGACTTATCTTTTACAAAGGTATGTTTAGCACTGTTTAGTCACCATGATCAACCGTGCCAGCAGTGATGAGACAATTTACCATTTACAAGACTCTTGATACAGGCAGAACTATGTTCCTAGATCAGGCTTATTTCATTTATACTGGCGAGGACACAGAGTAACACAACGCGAAATATTTACTTTTTCTTTTCAAATTACCAAACATTTTTTAAATAAGAAAGGAGATGACAACTTAACACTTTGCTGAAGAAATAATTTGCTACAAATTTTTAAACCGTATATTTATACACAATACATTGAATTTGAATAATAAAAGAGATCTTCATATTTTTGTATTTTGAAATGTTTTTGTCCTTTTCAGATCTCTGTTCTTCAAATCCATGTAAACACGACGGAAAGTGTACAGTGACAAGTAATGGATATGAGTGTTCTTGTGAATCTCCATACTCAGGAAAACAATGTGAACAAAGTAAATTCTTTTAAATAAAATCGCCTGATGGTCTATTTAGAAGACATTAGTAAAACACGGAGACATACTTGCACTTCTTTGGTTTCGTTTTAGATCTTTGCGAATCGAACCCGTGTAAAAATGAAGGAATATGCTATGCAGATAACGGTATTGTTGCTTGTAAATGCAAAGAACCCTATTCAGGAAACCTTTGCGAGAAGGGTATGTATTTAACAATTAATTGTTAAAAAATATTAAATTATTGAAAATTAACCATGCACAATTAAATAATATACTATATTAATAAAAGAACTGATTATTAATTTACAATGGAATTTATCCTTTCACGTCTTGTACAGATCTCTGCAGACCCAATACCTGCAAGAAAGGTGAAACATTGTAATGTCACTCCTTCCAGATATAACTTCTCTTGTAAGCCTCCATACTCTGGAAAAAAATGCGAAAATTATTTCTAATATATATACTAAGTGAATGAAATAAATGTTCGAATAATTGAATATTTATAAATGTACTTCTAGATTTGGCATTTGTAGCTGAAATTATCAATTCTAGTTTAAGATATTTGTGAAATAATAATTCTGGTCACATACGACATCACGAAACTTAGCTTACTATTGTGGTTAGGTTGCGACAATACAGTCATGGCCATAAAATTTAGCGCAGAAAGGAAGATCTGTACGACTCGATCAAAATGTTTTTATAAAATTCCAATGCTGATATAACTAAATCAAAGCAAAACTCATTTATTACAGCGCAACCACAAATCAGTAAAGATTCTAATAAGCTGTTTAGCCAGATCTAGTTGAATTGAGTGTCCGATACGGGCGGGCATTTAGGCATTGTCTTTTTGTATGGTGCCCTATGTCACCTCAATTCAAGTTACGGATAGCATTCCTCAAGTTAGGCCTTAATTCTAGGCTTTCCAAGCTGAGCACCTGCTTAATCAGTGACGTATCAGTGGATCGGACAGCCCAGGGATGGATTGTAGCTTGACAGAGACATTCCTGTGACAGTTTGCTTCATATTAGTCTAGTAATCTCTGAGAGTCCACCTCGGCGCAGTGCAACTGAGGACCGAGAGCGGCTAAAACGCCAGCCACCAAATGGTGGGCGGCCTTCAAGCATGGAAGGCATGACCAGATTCTTGGTGGTACATCTAAGCATTCACTCATAAAACTGAACTGGGTAGCGTGTTGTGTGTCCTATCTCCGCAATGCGCGTAATGTGGTCGGGGCAGGTTAGGCAATTGGTGATAGAACTATAGAGGTACTGTTGCGTTGTGACAGGATAATTTCTCGGGGCACTGCCGTGATTGACAGCACATGTGGAAAAAGGAGATCGTGAACCTACCGCTCGACTCTCAAGTTACCGTTAATCAATATTAGAAGTTAGTGGCTGTTCTGTGCAAAGGCACCTCATGTCTTTAAAACAGCTGTGTTAGAGGTGTGCCGTAGCAAATCCCAGGCAGGAATGAAACATTTACCACGATGTCCCTGGATGATACACGTGCTCATCACTGCCCAAACTAAATCTCGATTCATCGCTAATTAGAGTCCGATATCATTGACCTTTAGCCATATGTTTCATGATGGTACGGGCCGCCACAGGGCAGGTAATGAAGTTCCTGTATGTATGTAGATAACGGATACAGAGAGCATTTTCATCCATATATTAGAAATGAGTTTGCTTTGGAAAAATATCTATTATTTGACTTGTAGAGACATTAGGTTAATGGAAGCAAAAGAGATTGAAAAATATGCAACGCTTTCGCCAGGAATTGAACCATGGACCGCCGGAATACGCGCCCATCGTGCAGATCACCACATCACGAAGGCATGCAAAGAAGGCGAGCGAACTACCTTATATGCTTCCCTTTTAAATGGCGACTGGGGTTTTTTAGGGGACCCAACCGCCAAATTCTGGGTGTAGAGAATCATCACACACCACCATTTTAGTTCAGGCGCTACTGTAGAGACATTAGATGTTTTTGGAAGCAGGAGATGTGGAAAATGAGCAACGCCTTCGCCGGGAATCGAACCACGGACCTCTGGAATACGCCTCCTGCGTGCAAACCACCACACCCCGAAAGCATGCCAAGAAAGCGGGAGGAATACCTTATAGTTAACCATTTAACATTGTGTAAATGGAATCTCGGTAATTTGGCGAGAAATTGGCAAAATTCGCCAAATTTGGAGGCCATTTGTTGACATATTTGTCCGGTCCCTGTATCACCGTAATATGTATTGAAATTGAGTAAATGCAATTGAAAACGGTGTTAACTGTAAGCCTAATTACATCCTCGTACTGCTTTTATGTAATTTCAAGAGGCAGAAAGTACTAGAAATGTCTTTTCGGATGGTTCAAAACTATTTGATTCCGAAGAGATAGTATCTGCTCTTGCTTAGTTATTGTTGTTACGAGTTGTGAACTGAGTTATCCGATGAACTGAGGTATCCAAGTTAGCTTTCTCTTTACATGCCTTTTGTATTGCATTGTGTTTAACGCTCTTAGTAGTTTGATGCGTGGATATAAACTATTTTAATAAACCAGAGCATCAAGGACGAATATACTTGAGATATAATTCCTGTCCGTTTAAACGCTACGTCGCTTGGTTCGCTGTTTCAAATGTTAAGGCCTAGGTCATCAGAACAGCACCTGCACAGAGCCCCCTCCTTGTGTCTAGTGTGCTAAAGCACACGAAGTACCAACTCTTAATTGCCAGAAAATTCCGACGTGCATAAACTTCACAAAATCTAACCTAAATAAAGGTACCCATTTTGATTGCAATCATTCCGCTAATTCCAATATATGCCTGACTTACAAAAGGGAACTGAAGCAACTACTGAGAAACCCCAATCAAAATTTCTCTTCATAGTTTCAAAAGTCTAAAATATCTACAGTGTAACTTGCGAAGATCCATAGTTGCAAAAAATCATTTGATTCAGGTGTGTGTGTGATTATGACAAAGCCTCGAGGGCTAACTGCCTAAGGGGAGTGATGCCTTCGTGGAGGACGTTCTAAGGAAAACTGGCTCGTATACACGTTACACATGGGGAAAACCACGAAAACTCCCATGCAGCCAGCCCGTTCGCGGGATTCGAACCTTGGACCGAACTACCAGTGTTCAGCGACTTTACCGCTCGGCCGCTGGTGGGCCCATTTGATTCAGGAACAGTTTGAATTGGGAACGGACACAGACCTGCTTCAAGAACTATATACCACTAAAGGTAACACTGTTATTGGCTCTACTTCTAATAATAGGATCTTTCTGTCTCACAATAAATTGGATGCAGTAGTCTACAATGGCTCCTTATCTCCCATGATATGAAAGACAACTGAGCATACCATCTCCATAGCCTTAAATAGAGGAGAAGGTTGCTTTCTGATCGTTTCTGCTTATTTCCCACCCAGGGAAAATATTGATTCCTTACTATTTGAGCTTGATTACCTTAAATTATGTCATTCAAAAATTACATCTTAGGAGGAGACTTAAATGCATCGAGTTTACTCGAATAATTCGAAAATATTGTTTGATTCGCTTTTTTATTTTGCGCCCAGAACAATTGACTTGCTGAATCTTACAGTTTATTCTCAATTTTATGTTAGCCTTTTCACTTTCCTTTTCCTTCTTGCATGTGAGGGAAAAACGCCTTTTCTTTTTTGTAAATACTTTTAATTCAAATGATATCTTTTAAGTAGAGTTATTATATTTAGGTTATTTCTTTTCTTTTTAAGAATTTCTAAATTTTTTAATTTAGGAATTTGAATTCTATCTTTAAATGACACTTCTTCAAATAATTATTTAAAAATGTTTCATTTCTTCATTCGAACTGTCTACTTAGTAGACAAATCATAAAGACTTAAATTTTAGGAATTTGATTTTAATTATTTGAAATGCATTTCTTTCGAAAGAATATTTTGCGTACGGCATATGCCATGATGCATTTGAAAACTGCGTAGAATATTCCTTGCAAAAGCGACTCCTTAGTTCTCACCTGAGTATATTTCAATAGCTGACCCGCACATTCAGTTTCTGGGAGTCCATGCCTTCTAGATCTGGTACCCTCACCGGTTTTATATCTTCCAGAAACAAAGAAGGTGTAAGAGGTACAAGCTACTCTTAGTTATCAAAAATGCAAATTAAGGGACGGCTTTTTAATTTAATGTGGATTCGACAGCTCATAGAACCATCTGTTACTCTTCAAAATTTATTGAATATCTTCCTAAAATTCGAAAGACAAGTAGTAGAAAGAACTAAGTGCTCTCACCATCCCCACACCACCACGCAGCCGTAGTAGAAATGAATATCAACTTTATTTGAAAACACAACTTTTCTGTGATTTCAGCAATTCAAGTCCTTCAGAGCGATGTCTATCCGGTGAAATTGGTTTCGCTACGTGAATACGCCGTCAAAGAATGACTACATCTTCTCGACGGAATCGTTTTATAGTCTGTAGCAAAGCTTCGTTACTCAGAGAGGTGATAGGTTGCAAGTGAACCTTCCCATACATGGAAGACGTGAATAATACTATCTAAAATTTTCCCTGTGGTCTCAAAAGCAAAGGCTCACAGAGAACAACTCCTATTTGTTAAAAAACTGTATCTAGGCGTGAGTTAATGAATGCCTTAAAATGAGGCGATGTTGTAAATGCTTGTAAGTATTTGAATACTTTTAGATTAAATATTTCTTTTTCTGCACAGCATTAATATTTTGTAGTCTTTTATGTATTTTTTTAAAATTATTTTAGGATGAAAGCTCTTTGTTTTACCTTTGTATTATTTATTTAAATTTGTAGTCTCATCTTTTTTTTTTTTTTTGAGTGTGCATTTGTGACGCGGAATTGTCAATCTTTCGCTTCTAAAAGCAACAACGTTGGAATTGCAAAATTACCCGGAATGGAAAGGGATATATTGATAATATTTTTCCTGATGGGTGTTGGTGAGAAATTTTGTTAGAACTTGGCAACTTCTGGAAGATTCGCGAAAACACATTTTTGAAGCAAAATCATACATTCTTTCACGCTTCCAGATACCACGTTATTATACGTAAATACGAGAGAGTTAGGGAGTTCGGTTGGTGGGATTTCCGGTTAGCTGAAATGTGATTTAGTATTGATTTGAGGAACTTAACTTATTTTTCGTCTTCTACGATGAAAAGGCATTATATTCGCATATTTCGGAGCTTTTCCCAGCTGCGTATTTCTCTTGTATGCCATGGAAATTTTATGTCATATTGCTAAATCTTTCTTACTTATCTGGACCTGAAACTTTTATGAAACATAAAGAAGGTACAGCTCGCAAGATTTTATACACCCAACTGTGCAAATAGAGTTTGATTCAGGAAAGGCCTTAACATCCAATATAAAAAACATTTTATTTATTCCAAGAATGTGTGTTAATAATATTCCATAAGATGTCACTAACAGTAATTTAAATATTTCACAAATTAAATACTTTCTCACTTCCCACACATTTCTGCGACTGAGCAGAGCAAGAGAAATATTTTGTTATACCTTTATTATCAACATAATATTTGAAAAGAAAATTTTTGCCGAATTTTAAGCTAATAAATTATTAACTAATTTATTATTATTTTATATTAAGCATAGTATCTATTTTCCCTTCAGATTCAAGTACAACGAACTCTGGTGTTGCAAGTTCTACCGAAATTCCTTTTAAAACCACGGAGTCTTCAACGTTGCCAGATGACAGTAAGCAACATATGACTACATAAGATTTTTATTCTCTCTAATTTTAAATGTGAATTAATACTGAAATATCAAATAATCTGAATTAAACAACGAATGTAAAAACGTTTATCGAATGTGCAACAATATATTCTGAAGGTTATCTTATACGCAGCAACGAGTTTAAAAGAAATTCAAGGGCAGTGTAATTTTTCTAAACTTTAAGAACACATGTTTGTTCACAAACAAGTGCAGAATCATACGAATTAGATAAAACTGCTTTAAAAATTAGAGCTATTGTAATACTTTAGGAATTTTCGTTATGCGAAACTGCACACTGCAGAGAGTTTGAAAACTTAGATATTTAGATTTAATCCCTATCTGTGCTTTCTATGTTAGGCATATACACGGATTCTGGATCACGAATGACTAGGTTCACTAACAAATTATATGAATAGATGAACGGTGTCTCGAGTTAGAAACACACAAGTATGCAACAAGCAATTTTCAAAGCTCTTTGAGGTAACTTTTCAGTTTTAGTTCCCCCAGTTTTACGTTACAGGATTTTCAGAAAAGTCTAGAATATTTTAATAAATTTGCGATTCTATTTTCAGACATAGTAAACAATTTCCAGATCTTCAGATAGAATGTATATTATTCTGGACACAGGTTCAGTTCAAAAAAAGTTTCACTGTCTTTAATGGGTACTTAAGACTATCTTCAGAGAAAAAAATTTCTCTTGTGTGTGGTGTAAGATCGTTCAGTATCAATCAAGTAATGTGCAATATTTACTGGCTTGAAAAAAAATATGTCGTACATTGCGTTGTAACCCTGAAATAGAGAATAAAAATATAGTATTTCACTTATTCACAAACACATATACATGAGACTTGCGGAGACACATTTCTTTTCTCAATCTCACTTTAATTACTTAAATATTAACGGGTTGAAATATATCAAATTGATTACATAGCACACGAAAAACACGTCTAGTGAAGATGGAAAGCAAAATTTATATTTTATTTCATCGCTCACTTTTGGAAATGTTTCCACGTTATCTACACACATTGCAGTTGTTGCTTTATATACGCTTATATTATATTATTCTTTTTTACACACATTCTTCGGGTCAGCACAAGGTAATGACCAAAAGGAGACGACGCGATGGCAATAGTAGCAATTTTTAGATGCGAAACACACATTAACAAGTTATTTCAAGACGGGTTAAATTTTAGCATTATTATTTCATAGCTGGATTAATTTTTAGTATAGTCTTTCAGGATAAATTGGTGCAATTCTCATGCTGCTTTTCGCTCCTTCTTCTCCATCAAAAAGACATCATTCCATGAGTGTGAGATATTCAAGCGCCGCAGCCCCGCATACTCGTTGGAGACGTAGTCCGCAATGAGAGGGAACCTGTTTGGCGGGTATTTATATGCACGTGTAGTTCTGCGATTCCGATTAATGTTACGATAGTGTCCATGATGATGAACTATGAGAAATTTTCATTCTCACAGCCTTTTTCACAGACATGAATATTCATGTCACGACCTTTCGATACCATATGCATTGAAGTTTTTTCAAGGGCATAAAGAACAAAGTCGAAATGTAGAATACCTTTACTGAAGTTTCAAAACTGGCTTGAATTATAATCTCCGTTATGGCGTTAGGCATTAGTGTATTTGATTTCATAAACAAGGGATTTCATAAACAAGGCCAAATATCGCACCTGTTTCATATCATCAAGGCCAAATATTGCATATTTAATTTAATAAACAAAATTGTTGAAACTAAGTAAAAGGTCCTTACTTATATATCTGAACTATGTTATTGAATTTATATTAATCCAAGATAATAACCTTTTGCTTTCTGCAGGGTAGGGAAGGTAAATGTAAAAGACCTCTAGTTACTTCATAGTTTGTGCTGCATTTTTCGTTAATAAATGCATCTCGTTATGGTTGCTGTTATCATCGTGTCGATGATAAAGCATTCAAATAGGACCATGGGCGAGAATGAAAGGTTTGGCAATGTGCAAAATGTTATTACCTTTGAAGTTCGATCTCTTAAACGAGACCCCTGAATTTTAACAACTCAGCATGAGTGGCTAGACAATTAAAACGTGTGCAATTCTCAAGTTTTTGTCGGGGCAGATACCACAGTTCTGCAGGTTTTCCTACTTAACCTGTCAATTTTCAATCCTCTGTGATGGCGAATTCTAAGCCTGAAAATGATTTCAGTAACAAACTGATCTGCACTGAAGTCACGGAGATGGTGCTCTAATGGAGTTGAATGTTTCTTTAATTTCTATTTGGCCATAGGTTTTACGAACGAGAGGATTACATATATTTTATTATTATTGTTGAAATTTCAAGCTTCTTTTCAATTTATTTGCGTTCTCATTACCTTTCATGTTGACATGCTACAGACAATTCTGCATGAGCTTCCATGCAGAATTGTCTGTAGAAAATCCTTTGAGTCACGGAATACGACGGAACCTTTTGCTTTGTCAAATATGGCAAGGTACGTATGCATGTCAAGTGCCTCTGCTATTGCCAGAAGCTAGCATGTAAAGTTAGAGACTATGGTTCCAGCGTCAATTTTGTGTTGATAATAGTATCGCCTGGTGTCATCAGAAATAATTCGCAAACTCAATTAGTGATTGTCTTATCAGAAATGTCTTGCATTCCATATATTAATTATTTGGTTTGAGAAAGGTACGTTAATAGAAATTTTCCATGCCTTAGACAAACTGCCACATTTCCATGATGTGTAAAAGATGGACAACAAGCATTGTGTTGCTTTTTCGACAAGATGTTGTTTAACTACTACTTCAAAAACAAGATCATTTTTTGGTGATTATTTTTAATAGTGTTAATAGCACTATTTATTTTGTCCAAAATGATGTCATTTAGAATAGTTTATCAAGCCTGTATCCTCTTGCCCCCAAAAGCAATTTTTTGGCAGCACGTTTTATATTGTTACTTTCTTTCTGACAATTAATTTTGCAAAACCGGAGTAGTGCACTGAAAGTTCTTTGGCCACGTTTACGTTCATTAATATAAACTGTTAATCCAGATGCATCAAGGATGTTTGAAGATTGGACAGCAGTAGAAGTGAAGGAGTTATTCAGTGATTTAGCTATTTTCCAATGCTTTAATTGGAACTAGAATCTAATTCAATTGGAACTAGGGTCTTGCAAAACTCAGTCCATTTTTGTTGTTTGTTGGCAACTATTTTTCATCCACAGTCTTTGATGCCTCTAAAAGCTGTGTTCTATTTTGTTCCGTCTTGTTCGCTTTAAATGGACCATTCAAAACGTTTCTATCTTTAATTTTAAAGTGTGTATATTCTGATTCGTCCAAGAAGGAGCCCAAATGTAAATTCATTTGTAATGAGATTCTCACCTGTATTGAAGAAGTTACGTGTCAATTTCTACAGCTTTTATTCAAGTGTACTCAAATGCATCTGGTGAATAGCAGCTATAAAAAAATAAGTTATGAAGAGGTTAAAATGATAACGTGATACATCAAAAGGGGGGACATTCATGATATTCAACAAACATTTAATCGAAAAACCAAATTACTATCTATTGTTTACTTATTGATCAAAAAAATTTTTATGCAGAAATCAAAGGTATTTGTTGGATTTAGAAACGCTTAAAATTCACGCGTTATTATAATATATATTTAACATGAATTTACTTAAAGTCTAGTGTAAATATTTTCAAATAGATCGAACATCATTTATCATAAATATAGCTTTGTAATGGCACCTCTCAAAGTGAAGGGGATTCCAAATTACCAAATATCGTTCGTAATGGAAGAGTATTATTTAGGTCAGATCGCATATTATTGTATCTGGGATGATATCATTTACTCCTTTTCAAATGGATCATTTCACTCTGAAGTATTACGAGATTTTGTAATGAAGAAGATAGGTAAGGTAAAGTAAGAAACTATATCTATAATGATATTTTGATGGTGCAAAGAATTGATACGATTGATCAGCTCGTCATGGATATCGTATATGACAAATTACGTAGGCTATCAGAAAGTAACTTTAGAATAAAACAAATGAAGTAAACATTTTATTATTACATTGAAGGCCGTATTCAGATATTTTTCTACATAATCTCCGTATAAATTAAAACGACTATCATAATTATACACGAACTTGTTAATTCCATCGTCATAGAATGCTTCCGCCTGAGATTTAAACCATTCAGTGACGCCTGCATGCAGTTCATCGTCATCGTCGAAGCTCTGTGTTTGCAGCTAGACACACAGAAGTGTCTCTTTCAGAAGTCTTCTTGTCAAAAGTGAAGCACATACAAGTGACAAACTTTACCCAAGTGTAGTTTCCTGTTACGAGACGACTGAGAAGTGATTCACTGTTCGTGGAATGTTTCGAGAAATGCGCATCTCCGTTTTTCGTTCCAATCGTTTGCATTATATATATATATATTAAACTCCGTTATTCTGGCTCAGTGAGCTCAGTTTTTCTATTCTTAGATGCTCTTAAATTGTGCATTTTTTTACTTTAAAAGTGATTGAATTATGTGGTTTTTATATTCCCATTAAGATTTTCATACATTTTGGAAATCTGCATGCGGTAATTGCAGAATTATCAATCATTTAAAATCAGCGAGTTATTAGTAAGTTAAGTTAGTTTCTGCACCTTCAACATCTTTTTGCCGGGTGGGACCAAAAGTAAATTTTCAGGTTTGTGCATAGAAAAATCTGCCTTCTTAGCCGCTGGTCGAATAGCTTCTTTTTTCGTAAAAACTAAGTTCAATTGTAAAGGTTTTTGTTGATCTGTTTTAACTGTATTTGGTGTTTTATGTTTTTCTGTGTTTTACGATTTTTAATGAAAATATTTTTGCCGCGAAGTGAGAACTGAATTAATTGAATGAGAAA